ACTGGGGGTGGGGGGACCCTTTGTGGATTTTCTTTGCCTTTGTGTTTAATGCCGTGTGGGAAAAGTCAACTCCGATGTCACCATCGTGGGCGGACGAAGGATGCTTTCTCCGTAGAGGCTCCTAACTGAGCCTGGAACTCGCCCCCCCCATCGGGACAAGGCCCAGTCATGTCACCACACCCGTCCTGTGCCCTCACCATTGCTATGCAAAGTGATTCTCCTTGTACATAAGATTTAAATAATGCACCTATTTAAGAAATGTTGACAAATTACGGGTCTGGGACCCGCCTCTTATTTATGAAGTCTCCGGCCCCCTCCCGCCCGCCCCGGCGTGTAGTACTGTACAAACAACCAGCTGTCGGGTTAGTGGTAGTGTTATTGTTATTTTTTTAAAGGAAACAAACAGTCAAAAAAAAAAAAAGGAGAAAAACAAAAAAGCCTCCTTGGAAAATTGCTCTTTCGTAATGGATTCTGTATGCTGACGCTCTCTCCTCCGTCTGTCTGCCCACCCTGCCCACCCGCCACTGTTTCCAAATGTCTCCACCTTCCTGTCGGGATAGGGGTCAGGCTGGGGGCAGGAGGGAGAAAGGGGGTCCCTCTATTGTTGTCTCGCTCCTCTGAGGCCCAAGCTCTTTCTCTTGGCCCTTTTACAGATTTGGAAGGGGGGTGCTAACCTGTCCTCCCCATCCATCCCTGGTGGAAGAGCCGTCCCCCCACCACCCCGAGAGTTCCCATCTGTCAGCCTCTGCTGTCCCTGTCCCCAACGGAGGCTATGCGACCTGTGGCCTCCCCCGCCACCGTGCGCTTCCCGCGGTCTCCTCATGCATGCCCGCCTCCCTGCATGGTCTCTTGGGAGAGAAGAGAGATGCGTCACCTCCGCCAGCCTAACTGCCCGCCCACCCCTATAAATGTGACCACTGCGACGAAGATGCTCCTTCTGTCCCACACCTGCTCCGAAGACCCACCAACCTCCATTTCTTTTATAAACAGTCGGCTTTTTCTTAACAAGCCCTCACTGTACAGAATACCCCCGTGATGGTCTATTTGGGGTCCCCCTCGCCCCCAGCCCCCTTTTCTGTTGGTTTAGCACAAATACTTCCCCCCCCAGCACCTCCAAACCAGTCAATGTAATTGTTTTATATATATTTAATCTTATTCAATGGAAACCATGCTTTTGTCGTTTTATACTTTGCTAGGTAGACTTTATTACCCCCTACTATGCCCTCATTTTTTTAAAAAAGGAAAAAAAAAAAAGAAATCGGGTTTCAGTCTTAATTCATTTTACGTGCCAGGTTTTATTTGGTGTGTGTGTGTGAGAGTGTGTTCTGTGTTTTGTTTTTTGTTGTTGTTGGTTTTTGTTGTTTGGTTTTAGTTCCCGTCCCTCCAGTCCCACACTTTACAGCACTCTGGTGCAGGAAGAAGCAGAGCAACAACAACAAAAAAAAAATTAAAAAAATTAAAAAAAAAAATACTTAAAAAAAAAAAAAAAAAGAAACAAGACATGCCACCTTTCCCCTCGCACTGTTGCTTTTCCTGATGGTTAATACTACTGTCATGTAGCTGTGTACAAAGAGATGTGAAATAATTTCAGGCAAAAATAAACTGTAAGTGACTCATCAAAGTCTGGCCTTTCTGTGTGGCTTGGGGGCCTGGGCGTGGGGGGGCAAGCCCCAGCCCTGTCCTGAGTCCTGGATCTACATGGCACTTCCTGATGCCAGGGCTTCTCACCCTGGACACTGTTGACCATCAGGGCCAGATAATTCTTTGTTGCAGAGGACTGTCCTGTTCATTCTATGATATTAAACAGCATCCCTGATCGCTATACACTAGTAGCTAGCACGCACACACACACACACCCTGCTGTGACAATCAAAAATGTCTCCAGACATTGCCAACTACCCCCTGGGGCACAAAATCACTCCCCACCTCTCACCCCTCCCCGCGTCCATCCCCTCCCCTGCCTGCTGAGGTGATTCCTGAGTTCCTAAGTCTGTTCTCTGCCTCCCCCCAAGCCCCTTGCTCCCCCTACCCTCATTCCTCCCACACCATCCAGCTGGCCCTGCTACCTGCCCACCCTCCCCTGGCCAGCCAGCCTCACTTCCGGAGACCTCTGTACATTTCTGGAATGGGCAGGCTCCACCTGGCCCTCGTAGGCGAGAACATGAGGGGTGTTAGTGGCTTAGCACCAGACCACCTTGGGGCACACGGGAAAGCAGGCTCTATGGAAAAGGACAGGGGACCCAGGCCTAGCAGAGGCAGCAGGGCAAGCCTTGCTGAGGAGGGAAGGTCAACTGGGATGGTCCAGAGAGCTCTTGGCTTTGGGAGCTCCGGGCCTCAGGCCAAATGGCCAGATGGTTTGGGCTTCACCATGGCAAGCTACAGGTGTCGGCCTGTGTGCATGTGCGTGTGCGAGACTCTTCAACCTGCTCCTTCTCTGGTCCTTTCCACCCAGCATGGGGCCCAGCTCACAACAGGCGTTCATCACTATCAGATGGAAGGTGTGACCCTCGTGTTGTCCTCGGCCTTCCCGCTCTGCCCTGTGTCGTCTGGGCTCCTTTGCCCACTGGTGAGCCTGGAGAATGCAAGCTGCCTGCTGGAGGTGGGCGGGAGGAAAGGGGTCAGGGTGTTTGTTTTCCGCAGGCTCCCCAGCCTTTGCCGTTTCCAGCAGTAGTCGCCTCCCTCCTGAGTTCAGCTCCCACC